GCGCTATAATGAGTCGTATTGATCTTTATTATTTTGTATTCGAGCTAGCTCATTACATTCAGATTTTATCAATGAGCATGTGCCACCAATAAGCATCGGTCCAAATTGTCTACACATGCGTGAGATGCTTCCCACGAACGTGAAAAATAACTAGAGGAAAAGTAGATTCTACATCCCCTCCCCCCTATCTCACCACACACACACCACACGCACGCACGCACAAGCAAACTTCATTGAGGGCCACTAACTCCACATTTATTGTTAAATTTGTGGACAAATTACAATTCATCAATTTTAATGGGAATTGGTGAATTGAATATTTGGTGAATTGGTCCTAAACGTTTAAATGACACTCGAATATATTCGAGTGCTATTTCTGAACTTATTTTTATGATTATATTGGATGTTTTCCATTTAGTGACAGTTTAGTGACATAAGTCGACACAACACAAGTGTGTGTGTCGTTCAGTTGCGTTCAGCAGAAAAAGCAGTTTTGCAACTGTTGTAAAAATCATTGATATGAATGGTTTTTGCCATTAATTCCTCATGGATCTAAATATATCCAATCATATTAAAGGATTTTACCAGTTGCAAAGCTACTTTTTCTGCTGAACGTAGTCTATTTTTTTGACATTCAATGAAACCGAAGGCCAAACGTGTACTTGTGTTAACTTGTATCACTAGAAAGCATTCTATGATATTTTCTTCGTCGAGAGATTTCAGATCGATTTCCGTGAACATGAGGTTTTAAATTAGGGACATTAAATCCCGTCGATTGAGACTGCGTTCCAATATTTACTACCAGTACTGAAAATATATAGTTCAGGTAACGTATATTATAGATTTTCAGTCACTGACGGTGAATATCGGAACGCAGTCTCTGCTCCATTATTTCTAGGCTGTGTATTTGCGTGGTGCGCAGAGGGGAAGAAGGGGGGAGGGTACGTGAGGGAGCGCGTGACGGAACACTTTTGCATTTTATGAATAAGAGATTTTTTGTTATTTTGAGGTTAATAAAAATAATAACAGATTCAGAATGAAAACACAAAAGTGGGAAGAACTAAATGTGCAATTGAGCGATTCTATACTAAAGACACTCAAACAATTGAGATTTTTTGATATGACGCCAGTTCAGGTAATATAAAATATGATAGATCTATATAAAGACCGATAAAAATACATTTGTGTAATTTAATATTATTCATTAAAATGTTATGTGACATTTATAAAATGTTTCAGATATTTTTTAAATTATATAATAATAATAACAATAATGCAATATTTGTATCACTTTATCATGTTTGTAGGCAGCTTGCATACCATTATTATTGAATGGCAAAGATGTTGCAGCAGAAGCAGTTACAGGCAGTGGAAAAACGCTTGCTTTTCTTATTCCTTTATTGGAGATATTACAAGTAATTCTTCATTTATTATGCATATTTAATGTTTTTAAATATTTAGAAAATGACATTTTTAGAAACTTTGAAACTATAATATATTATTTATTTTGTGTGCTAAAATTTATTATCATTCATTATCAGCTTTGATAATGTATAGTATATATCACATGAATTATAAATTTTCAATACTAGTAGTAGAATTTAGAAATACAGCTTTTATAAAATTGGAATAATGATGAGAATTAGTATTCAAAAAATATTGTTTGCAATTAGTTTTATACAAATAATTAATATATTTCCCAAAATTTTTGAAGAAAGATTATAAGATTACTGTACGATTGAAATAAAATGATTTAATGAGCGATAATTTGTGATATGTCCTTGTCTATTTGTATTCAGCTACTTTTGTTAATTTGCGCTGATGAAGGCTAAAAAATTAGCCGAAACATCCGCTCTTGCGTTTCGTCATTCCTCGTGATAATCTTTATGTCATTTTGATTATTCAATAAATTTATATGCGCTCTTACTACTGCGCTAAGCTCTTATTGCCATTACATCCCTTTTGTCTATTTTTATATTGGGAGCCTTATCGTACATGCATATAAGATTACTGTTTTAAATTTATATAAGATTACTGTTTTAAATTTATATTTCTATATAAAATAATAAAATAAAGTTTTATTATGTATGCAGAAACGAACTGAAAAATGGAAGCTTATGGAAGTAGGAGCAATAGTGATCAGTCCAACGAGAGAACTTGCTACACAAATTAATGAAATTTTAAAAGAGTTCTTAAACAAAATCCCATCATTAAAACAAGCATTGCTGGTTGGTGGTGTGACTCTTAAAGAAGACACAGAAAAATTGAAGAAAGGAGCTAACATTATTGTTGCTACACCTGGTAGATTGGAAGACATTTTGTCTAATTGTAATTCTATTAATTTGAATCTGTGTGTAAAATCTTTGGTAATTATAATTTACTTTTTTTGTAATAATCTCACTTATATACTACAAAGTAGATTATTAACTAAATATATTCTTATTTCTAGGAATTTCTTGTATTAGATGAGGCAGATAGATTATTAGACTTGGGATTTTCTGCGACATTGGATAATATTTTAAGTTATTTACCACGTCTAAGAAGGACAGGATTATTTTCTGCAACGCAAACAAAAGAACTGCAGCAACTGATTAGAGCAGGACTGAGAAATCCAGCACTAATTGTTGTGAAAG